CACTACAGTACTGCAATGGTACAGTATCCCAACTATTCAATTAGAAGTTAGCCCAAGAGTTGGCAGTAGGTAATTGTAAACTAGTCTGCCTTTACCTCTAGTCTATCAGTTCAAATTAGGGGCAGATGTTCCTTGTTAGCTTTATGATATTATCCAAAACAAAAATATGATGTTCTTTGCACTTTGGGGCCATGGATACACTACAGTACTGATGGTCATATCCAACTATTCAATTAGAGTAGCCCAAGAGTTGGCAGTAGGTAATTGTAAACTATCTGCCTTTCCTCTAGTCTATCAGTTCAAATTAGGGGCAGATGTTCCTTGTTAGCTTTATGATATTATCCAAAACAAAAATACCAAATCAGTTGGATAAAGTGTCATTGCATTTTTTATCTTTGATGAGTAACCCAGTAGTAATTCAAGATTCATGACCTTTCTGAAACATTAACTTAAATTTGTAGTCAGAGTTAATTATCCAATTTGTTTATTTTTTTACATTTCATTTTCTGAAAAACGTTTACAACTCATATTCATACACATTACCTGTTTTCTTTCTTTTTAAGATACTGCAAGTCTAGTATTAAGTTTATTAAGCAAAAAAAATTATATTACTTCAAAAAATGTTCTTTATAAGTTCAACGATAAACTTACAAAAAAATGACTCTACAGTACAATAGAATTTTAGTTTTAAAAAGTATAATATCTATTAAATGAAAAGAATATTAGTAGCTTAGGATATAACAGCATTAATTAGTCTTTTAAAAAATTTTAGGGGGCAAAAAGCGAAATATTGCTTCCCGAAGGCAAAAGATGGAAATTGAAGAGATGCTTTTACCATGTGACTCGTCATACAATCCCAAAAAAATAGAGCAACCTATTGATATGTACAGTACAGACGTGATGAGCATTGCAGACACTCGTATTTCACAGCTAGAGGAAGAAGCTCAGTGTATTAAAGAGAAACAACAAGAAGCTGAAAAAGTTGTTAAATACCAACAGAAACAGGTATTGATAATTAACATTTTGTTCTGTCATCCCTCTGTTAAGCTGTAATGATAGCTTTCATCCATTACTTAAAGGTAAAACATGGTATATGTTGTCTGTATTTATTTGTATGAATACTTGTAAAGTAAAGTGAATGAACTACTCAAATATAGCATGATAAAGAGTTAGCTATTTAGTATATGAATATTATTTAGATATTAAAAACCATAAAGATACAGTAAAACAGTAATTTATTGAAATAAAAAGCAAAATAGACATATTGTTTCCTATCATGTAAAATATTTAGATTACAGTCAAGTTACAGGTAAACTGTGTATAATGAAGTGGATTTGTTTCATTAGAAAATGTAGCTTTTAAGAAAGATATTTTTAAGGAAAATTATCTTGCCCAATGATGTTATTTCAACAGCACTGCCAAACATCAGCTTTTAATGGCCTAAAGCCTTTTTATGATTTTGTTGCAAAACTTCAAAATTTAGCATAGATCTTAGTGATTTTCTTCAGCAGTATTATTAGTTACACACAAATTAACTTCTTTGTCATTTTAATTCAATTGCATGTCTCATAGCTTATTCATTAGGGTTTTTCTTTAACACCACTTGTGATTGGATATCTTTCAGACATCCAAAGTTGAAAACATTGTGCCCAAATAAAGTATGCAATATAAACCTTTTCTTTTTTTGCTTTTATGTTCTTTAGTTTTATGACCTTAATTTTTTATTGAAAGAAACATAGCTGTGTGCCCTGGCAATAATTGATTTTGTTAGAGACATACTAATTCAGGTTCATATCATATGAAATGTTTAAGCATACTTAATGTTTTAATGACCATAACTAGTATTTAATGTATGCATTTTATTTTGAGATTTTTTTTTCTAATTAACCATTCTACTAATTATTTTTTATTCTAAATCTACATAAGAGTTATCCAATAAGAGTTAGTTGGCATCAAAATGTCTTAAAATAACAAACTTAAAAGCAAACAAATCTGTGTAAAAGATTGACAAATGTTACTTTTTTGTAGCTCAGTTTATTTATTTCATTTCCAAGGGATAACAGTGAGGTCATCATTTTGTCCATCTAAGCTATTCCATTTTCTATTACCAACCTAGTATAGTGGTTGTCATAGTTACTAGACTATATCATCACCTAAGTCTAAATACTAATTAATATCTATTTTTTTATTAATACTAAATAAAGATTACTAATTAATATCTAGTAATAATAAAATAAATTATTATTAATGATTAGACACAGGTGATTATATAGGCTTCAAACTATGACAATGATTGATATGTAATTGCCACAACCATACAATAAATACTTAGCTTATTACAAACTAGATATAGAAATTTCTTTTTCTACAAAGGAAACTATTCCATAGGCCAGCTACTCTGTTATTAAATAACAATTGCCATAACTAGTATCATGTTGAAATTCTTTATAACTTAAACATTTGTCACCTAGTTTTACTGCCTGCATATTATTATCAATAACATCATAGAATTTATGGATTCCAAATCTCAATAATGCCCCACCTTGTTCCTTCTTTTCTCCATCCAAAATATCTTGAGATTTTAAGGTGCTTATAGCCCATTGATGTATACATTACTAGTTTTGGACTGTAGGACAAACTAAGGACCTCAAACTTTGATGAACTTGAAAGTAACACAAAACAATCAATTAGGCAAATTATTTCAATATTATGTGCATATTAATGAGCTCGGATTCAGATTATCTAAAAGCACAATATCTTGAAAACTAATAATACTACCAAACTAAATTATACATCAATTTAAAGCTTGCGAAGAGAGCAAAAATGTGAACCTAACATCACAAATGTCAGTTAATCACAGAAGAAAAGAAAAACAAAAAATATTTTTATTTTCAACACTACAAACCAACTCTCCAGTTACAGACCTATAGTTAGGGTGTTACTTTTTTTTTACAACCCTAGTTTTGTTTATTCCCTGCCTCTGAAATAGTATGTGGCTCACTTCTAAAACTATAAGAGGTCTGTAACTGGAGGGTTTATTTGTAGTGTTGAAAATAGATACATTTTTTGTTTTTCTTTTTTCCTGTCATATACTGACATTTGTGGTGTTAGGTTCTTGCTTTTCCTCTCTTCTTCAGATTTAAATTGATGTAGAATTTAGTTGGGTATTGTTATTAGTTTAAAGATATTGTGTTTTTAGATAATCTGAATCTGAGCTCACTAATATATGCATACAAATGAAATAATATGCCTGATTAATTGTTTTATGTTACTTTCAAGTTCATCAAAGTTTGAGCTCCTTAGTTTGTCCTAGAGTACATCAGTGGGCTATATGCACTTTAATCTGTTTCTGTAGGATAACCTATTCAAGCTGTGATCATTCTTTTAGCTCTTTCCTGAACCATCTTCAAGAACTTAACTATCCTTCCTTAATTAAGGAGACCAAATATTCCAAGTAAAGTCTAAGTGGTGCCTTAAAGAGTGTATTGATGACCTTCAGCTGCTTATTCTCATATTTCTGTGTGTATAATCTAAGATCCTTTTTGCTTTATTACTAGCTAGTGTATATTATCTAGAGATTTTGCAGTAGCTGTGTCCAGATCTTTTTTCATCATCAACTTCACACAGTATCCCAAATAAAGCTTTAAATGTAATCATTGTTGTTGCAACCAACATACAGAACTTTTCTTTTAGTAAAAGTCATCTGCTTGGTGTTAGCTCAGTTTACCTAAGAGTTCAAATCTTTGTGAAATTTCAGCATGTAATGACTGAAATAGTCACTACATTTCACCCTTCTGTAACTGGTCCAGAATATATCTTTAGTCAGATGTATTCAGGTAAATATTTTTAATTGTTCTTGCAATAGTGTGGCATTCTTGTTAACTATATGTAAAAAATGTCAGAAACATCTACTACCTCTACTTGGGTGTAGGTTAATAACAGCTGGAAACTCGTATCACTTTTACACTGTGTTTGTCTACCTGGGGAAGGGCAATTCCATCTTAAAGGGAAAACACAGAGGTTTATATCAATTAATTTTTCTCCTTGTAGCATTGGTTTTTGGCATATCACATTATTAATATTTTGCCTGAATTCTACATGGTGAGTCAATATTCCCTTTTGTCTTTGTCCTGCTCGTACATTATGTAGAATTCTCTTTGTCATAGTCCTGTGTGAATGTTTCAGAAAAGCTTTCCTTCACCCTAGTAACTAGTAGAAATCAACATAAAATGATAAGCTAGCCAGTAAGTTAGACTTCCACAGTTATTGCAAGTAAAAATTCTTTCTGTTTGTTCATATGTATTTGTTTCTTTATTTTTCCATGTTCAATTCATTCTCTACATAAAATTTCTGTAATGTGCATTTTGCAGATACTTCTAAACACTTGTGCTAGATATTAGTAAACCTTAATATGATGAGCATCTCCAGTACAGTTTGTTGAAATAACCAGTAATTTAATATCATCTTCGAACTGAATTAGCTCACTGGTTATCCCATTATCATTGTTGTTAATAAAAAACAAAGTATCAGACATAGAACCCTGCATTACACCATTTGTAACTTTAATTCACTGTGATTTCACTACATGAATAACAGTCTTTTACTTAGTACTATTCAACCAATTCTCAAACCATTTAACTAACTTAACTCTTGAACCATCAGATGCAATCTTTCTAAGAAGACTTTTATGTGCCACTCTATCAAAACATTCTGGAATGTTGTCAAATTTTTAGACAAGTTCTTCTCTTTCTAAGTTCATGCTCTCTATCTGTGTTAATATGAAACTTGTATAAATGGTCTTATACAGTTTTTGAATTATTGACTAGTACTTTCTCAACCACTGCAGTGAAACTAACTGGCTGGTGATTATTTGAACATTGTCTATCCACCCCACTTTCTTAAAAATTAGTGTGACAGTGGTTGATTTTCCACTTCTGGCACTTTACAACTAGTAATGGATTCGTTAATAATTTATTTTAATGGTTTATATACGTGATCTTTTGTTCATTATTCTAGAATGAGTATTATGTGGTCCAGGTGCCCTATCTCCTTCAGTTTGTCATTTTTACCATTGTAATAGTTTCATTTTAACATACATAAAAGTCTTACTTTTAGTATTAACAGTATGTGTCAACTTCTTCTCAAGTGCTCTTTTTAATTTCCTAATTTCCCTTTTAACCAAACTTCTAGTGCTTTTATAGACCTCTGAATTTTCCACTTGATTTCCTACGTAAGCCATTTGCAGTAATTTATCCTTAAAGGTTTCCTCACTTCAGACAAGCATCTCAAACTTACATGGAGTGGTGCTTTTCTCATAAGATCAAAATGGTCTGTCATGGGATTTAGAACTAAGATATTAACACTGATGTTACAGTACAATAAAATTTCAAAGTAAGCATAGAGTAAAAACTTTAACTAATTATACAATGATCAGTGGCTCCTAAATGTCCACCCCCCAATCTAAATGTTCTTTAACAATAACCTCATTAGTGGTTAATATTATAAAATTACATCCAAAATAACATTATCTCTAGTTAGTTCCTTAACTAGTTGTTAGATAAAACTGTCATGTAGTAATGTCTTCTGTATCTTTTACTAGCTGGAAACCAGAGATAAGGAAATAAACAGACTGACAAGACTTCTTGAAGGTGGTCGTCCATTTGATGCCATTCGTGCAGAACTTAAAACACAAGAATGTGAGAAACATATAGCACATTTAGAAATGCAGGTTAGTTCTAAGTAAATTTAAAGAAGAATCTTTGTATATTTAGTAAATAGTAATTCCAAACTGAATCTTAAATTTTTGTATTAAATAAGTTTCATATGATGTTTGATATGCATTTGGATTTGTTGTGACCATTTGCTTTCATAAGTCTAGCATTATTATTGATAACAGTGAATGTAACCATTTATCAGCCAGACATATATATATATATATATACATCACCAATTTAATTGGCAAATGTTTAAAAGGCATGGCTGACTTTGATCAGCATCCTAGTTTTGTAACTTACTGGAAGAAAAATTTTTCTCCTTTGTTTTAGTGTGTTATTTTTCCTTCTGTATAAGAATGGTGTTTTTTAATCTTTGTATGGCCAGTGAGCACCTTTCAGATATTGAGTGCAAACCTACATATCAAATATAAAAATGTAAGTAAAAATAATAATTGTAACTCTGTTTTAACAATGTTTAGCTCAAGAGTGTTTTAGAATTGATATATTGTCATTTTTTAACACTTATTTAATGTCATTAGCAAAGAAAAATAATAAAAAAATGTTTAAACTAACACTTCTATGCTTCCTCGAGAAGGCTCGCCTATAAACAGCACATTTATCAAAAATTGTAGAATTTTTTGTCAATCCCAAATCATAGGTTCATGTGGTTTATATATGTTCAGAAAATATTCGCACATGAGAATATAATTATCTAGGTTTTGTTTCTGATGTGATTTTCTTATCTTGTTATTAGTAAAGTCTTTGGTCACTTTTTTATGATCTCGCAGAATGTGATCTGAACAATTATGGATCAAGCTTAGTTTTGAAAATATATACAGGCATAATTTAAATATTATTGGATAGACATCAGTGTGAAGTTAATAAAATGGAGTGGGAAGTCAGTTATTATTTCTTGGAAAAGAGACAAGAACTAGCTCCTGCAAGGAAGAACAATGGAATCTAATAGGAAGTTTAGGAGACTTAGTAAGAAATGACAGATCTGGAATTTTTTATTAATTTTTCTAGACTATTTTTTTTTGTTCTTGAAAGTGTTCTTGTGTTAAATTATATTTGTTTGAAAGCTGTAAAAATTTTCTTATTTGACAAAACATTAAATAAGTTTAATTTGGTTGAGAAGAAAGGTAAGTAATGGCAAAATATTCTGATGACTCTGATCATTATTCATTGAAATTATTGTTAAGTTTATCATATTCAAACAATGCACATAAATAAAAGAACTGATTGTTTATTGAAAAGAAGCTGTATTAGATATAAGTTGACCTCGATCAAGAATATTGTTAGCAAAAATATTGTATATTTTTGGGACACTTCTGAGCATTACTTTCACTGGCTTTTAGTATAATTATTTTCAGAGTTTGTTACAGATGTTTCAGTCTTTCTCTTACTTCATCCAGTGCATTCTGAGAACTTTCTTGACCTGTGTTTAGTGTGATGTGAAGACTCTAAGACATGGTAAATGTATGCCCATGAACAATGGAGCCAACTGATTACAAATATGTTATGGTACAAAATATTTTGTTCACTAATTTCATCCATTCCACTAAGTTATATAAAAGGTTTGATCACATGATCATTTCTAATGCTTTTTATTTATGCATAAACAAGTGATTAGATACTCAAATGTCTGATACGATATATACCTCTTCTCACACATTAGAATTTCTTGATTGGCAGTGGGAGTTCGAGAAAAGCTAGTGTGTGAGAGAGGTAAGTGTCTATCAGAAATTTATTTTCAGTGTAAGAAAATGATAACATTAGGGTGCTTTGGGGCACATGTATGACTCCTCTAAAGCTATGCCTTGTAAGTTTGGAATTTTGTACAAACACAAAAATAAAGTATTCCCCTTCATACTTCCCAGTGTTTACCAGTTTTAAGGTTCTAATAGCAAAGAAATGATAAAATATATCTTATAGTTTTGTTTGATATTTATAAAACTAAATGTATCACTGGGAGATTTGATTATTTATAAATATGTAAAAATGTTAACCTACTTCTGGTCTCTTCCAGCAAGAAGCATATTATTTCCACATATTTATTAATTTTTAGTGTTTTTTGAAGTGAAAATATTTTAGAATTTAATGGCACAGAGTAAATACTTTTTCTGTCTTCTGCTACCCTGCTTTAATGGTACTGTGTATATTGCCTGTCATTCTTCTTTTTTCTTTTCTTCTGCTTGAAAGTTTTATTCTTAATCGCAACTGCTTTTCATTTTTATGGATTTAATGTTTTCCCTTTCTTTGGTTTCCTGAAATGTTTCCATGCATGCTTATTCTCCTGAGGTGGAATGAACTCACTTACTATATGCTACAAAAAAGTACTTATTTTGGTGGAGTTAGGTGTCTGGATTTATCACTTAACAATCTGTTGTCTACTATTTTTTCATTTTCAGTGGAATGTTTATGTTTAAATGTATATTTTCCCCCAAAGGGGGCCAAAGGCCTCCTGTAGGAGCCACATGTCTTAACCACTTGCACCACTGTACATTAGTGTGTTTTCAGTCATTCAGTAGACATTAAAATGATGTCACATAAGGGATGCTTAATGCTGCAACTTGTACTGTTTTGATTTCAGTAAAACATGTGCATGCCGTGAATAAAGAGAAGAATCATGCACTCTGTAGGCTACAACATAACATGACATATGAACTTCAAAATAAATAAATAAATATATTTGTTACTCTTAATTTTGGTTTTATTTACTCTTGAAAAAGAACAGTTTCGGGGACCCTGCAGAAGTACATCTAATTATATTTTCATCTGAACTGACTCCTCCTTTTTGTTTTGAGTGTAGAAATTCTAACTCATTTAACTTATGAATGAGAATTACTATATAAGATGTCATTGAAAAATATTTTACTTCTACCATAACTAATTCTTGTTACTTTAACCCAGGGATGTTATTTGTAAAAAAATGAGCAA